GGAGAAGGGGAATGAAAAATTTGATATTTCTGTTACTGATCAGCGGCAGCAAGGAGGGGGTGTGTGTGTGTGTGTGTGTGTGTGTGTGTGTGTGTGTGTGTGTGTGTGTGTGTGTGTGTGTTTTTGGGGAGATTTTGACAACCATAAGCTCAGAGCAGCACGTGGTTGAGTGAAGAGACCCCTGGGAGCTCTGTGAAGAAACACATCAAACTTAAGGATCTAGTTACATTTGTGTGTGTGTGTGTGTGTGTGTGTTATTTTAGCGTCTCCTCACCCTTTCTGGAGTACATCATTAACTAGCAAAGGAGAAAAATCACAGATGAAATAACTAATGAGTAATTCTTCTTGCCTTTGCAGACAAAAGCTTCGAGGTGGCTGCTGAGGTTTGAGGTTTGCTTCTTTGAATAATGACTGAAGTGTTTGCATTTGGTTCATTGTGCTTTCAATGTCTTCAAACGCGTTTTAGTGTAAAGAGAACCGACCATCACATCACGATTCAGTAAGCTGTTCTGAATGCAAACCCAAACAGAACAAGTAGAAAATGAGATTTTTGCCACAGTGTTGATAAATTGAGAGGTCGGTCTGTGTAACGTGTTTCCTCCCATTCCAAGATCTCAGGTCAAAACAACTGCATCTCTCGATTCCCCATGTAGAACCACACAGAGCTGACAGATAGACAAATTGTGTGCGTCAACTCACAACCAACTCTCTTAAAAGAGCAATTTATCACATTTGTTCCCCATAAAAGCACGTCGCAGCTTCTGGACACAGACTCCGTCTGCCTGCACGAACCAGTGTTGGCCATGCTACCAGCTATCGAACGATAAAAGTTTGGAATTTAAGTTGTCACAACACAAACTTGTAACACTCGGTGGTACCTCTGTATTTTGCCCATTTATAATCCTTGAGACTGCGCACACAACATATTTTTTTTCCCAGCCATTTACATTTACTCGTGTTAGTCGAGTGAAGAAAATCCTTCCAATATTTCAACGAAAGAAAGAGAAAAAGGCCGAATTTTGCAGGGTTACAAATTTTATAATAATTACAATAATTTACAAAAATGAAAATATTAACATAGCTTAGCTTCCATGATACTATCAGACTAAGGCTGAAACTGTCACTTTACCTGATTATTAGCTAGTTAATGAAAACTCCAATTGTTGACTAACTGTTGCGTCCCTGATCAGTATTTTTCTGTGACATTAACAGGAAGAGGTTAATGACTTAAAGACAGGAAACCAATGCACACATATGAAGCATTTGAGCTCCAGGTTTTTGTAACGCTGCAGACAGAGATGGGTAATCTGATTACTTTTTTCAGGTAACAAGTAAAGTAAGGGATTACTATTGCAAAAACAGTAATTAGATTACCGTTACTTTCCCGTAGGAACGCTGCGTTACTGCGTTACTAAAACCGTGATTTTTTGCGAGAATGTCTCATGACAGTGACGTAAGCGAGTGCGACGTTCGTGACAACAGCTGTGTGCAGATCAACAATGGATCATATATCGAGTGCAGGAGAGAGTATGAGCGTGCAGCGTTTAAAGCGTGGAAGTACTGACCTTACTTTGAGTTTGATTCCATAAAAAGTGACAAAAACATTAGTGTCCGTTGTGCGTGGGAAGAAAACTTCTTTTTACAGCGAAAAAAACCCCTAAACTTCCAAACAACCACCGAGTAGCTACGACGTAATGGGAAACTCACAGAGAAACTCGCGGATTCTTCCACTGACCGCTGCACACCTGCACCAGGATAAACCTCCACCTACCCCACTCCTGCTTTACAGGTGAAAATAGAGCAACAGGACCGCTAGTCTTTGACTTTATTTATTTTCTGCTGTGTTTTACTTGCATCTATTTGAAAGACTGAGTGTAAACACACAAAATATTTTATTTTATGTGCTGGAATGTGCAGAAAATAGGTTTAAATGTTAAACTAATTTCTTCCAGTCAGAGAATGTTGCATATAATTAAATTTTTGCTTGATGCATTAAGTTAAAAGATTAAAACTAATAAAACAAGTTTTAAAAAGAGACTTTTCCATTTGATTACATTTTGTATGATGGATTATGTAGAAAAAGTAGAATTGGGCTGAAAGATCTATCACTTTATCACCTATTCAGGTTGTAAATCGTGTTTTTAAAAAGTAACTAAGTAACTAAGTAATTAATTACTTTTGAAAATAAGTAATCAGTAAAGTAACTGGATTACTTTTTTGGTGAAGTAATCGGTAATTAGTTACTGATTACTTTTTTCAAGTAACTTGACCAACACTGGCTGCAGATATGATTAATAAAAGGAGATTTTGAAGCTCCAACCAGCAAGTCGAAGCTTCGAGTTTGTCCTTTGTTAAATTGACACTTTCGTCTTTTTTTTCTCACATCCACGAGCATCACTCGGCAGACGTGTCAATTTAAAAATAAACCCAGTCTAGACGAGCTTTGTACAGAAGACATTTTCATCCAGGGGTAGCCATTAATTTGTGCAAAGATAAACTTCTGATGCCGTTTCATTAATTCTGTTTCTCCTTCTGGAATCAGTGAGTTGGAATAAACCGGAGGAGTGATTGAAGCCAGGCACGCCGGGGAGTTGAAGGAGACAGACAGACAGAGAGAAAAGAGAGACTGAGGGGGGGTGAGGGTGAAACCGCAGTTTTTATACGTTGTCTGGTTTTAATTTGGTAAGAGCCATCATTCACCAGTTCACTGAGGTGGCAAACCAGATGAGTGTGTGCTGTTGGAGCGTGTGTTTCTTTACAGTCATGGACACTGAGATCTGCTTCTACAAATCTTAAAACCATCTGACACTTTGTTATTTATTATTTGTCTTGCTAATATTTCTTTAGTCCTCAGCCATTTTCAAGGAATAAGTTGGGAAATGTGCTCATTCCCCTCTGGCGTAGAGGAGAGGTTACACTCTAGCAGGTCAGGCTGGATGTGCAGGGAGGCTGGAAACAGCTAGCGTGGTGTAGGTAATGAAGTGAGATTGCCAACACGTCTAATGCTCATTAACCATCTCTCAGTGAGTTTGAGCAACAATTTGCTGCTCTGTGAGTCGTTCTGGAGCTCAACGAAAAAGACTCTCCTCTGTGCCAGAAAGAGCGGGTAATGGATTGTGCATGAATTACAGCAGATGTTGTCATATCTGCAGGTGTAGGTGTGTGGCAGGCGGTGTTATGGATCCAAAACGCAGGACTCAGCAGCGCAGAACTGAACTAAAAATCACAGCGTCAATGCTGAACAAACAGGCAACAAAAACAACAACATTACGTCACAAAACAAAATAAACGGACTCACTGACAGAGAGGGAAACCAAACAGTCGGAACCACTACTTACAATAAGTAAGTGACAATACAGTCCTGATTTGTTTAAGAACAACTGAAAAATGTTGGAAAATCCTATTTTGCATGGTTGGATCTTAACAAGGTTCCAAGTCGAGCTTCAACGTGCAACAAGAAGAAATGGGAGTGAGACAAAACATGTTTTTGAGCAATTTATTAAAAACAACTGATCTACAGTTGATCAACAGTTTAGGACCACGTGCCTTTAAAAGGTGAATCTGTGGATTCATTGTCCTTTTCTGTCAAGTAGTCACACTGTCATGACGTTCGGATGGCAAAGGCAAAAACTTTGCATGAGCAGGGTCTCTCACAGCACGCCATCGCTGCTGAGGTAGGACGCAGTTAGACGGTCATTTGGAATTTCTTAAATGATCCTGAGGGTTATGGAACAAAAACTCAAGTGGAAGACCCAAAAAATGTCCCCAGCACTGAGCCGAAGCATCCGATCGGCTGTCTGTCAAGACACTGGACGATCCTCGACCCACATTAAGGCCGTTACTGGTGCCGACTGCAACCCTGTAACCATCAGATGGCATCTGAGACTGAAGGGCTTCAAAAACACAAAAATGTCTTCAAAGGCCTCGTCTCCTTGAACGCCGCAGAACTGACCGTTTCGACTTTGCAAGAGAGCACCAAGCATGGGACACTGAAAGGTGGAAGGAAGTTTTATTCTCTAACGAGAACAAATGTAACCTTGATGGTCCTGATGGTTTCCAATGTTACCAGCATGACAAGCAGATCCCACCTGAGATGTTTTCTACGCTCCACAGTGGAGGGGGCGCCATAATGGTCTGGGGTGCTTTTTCCTTCAGTGGAACAACGGAGCTTCAGGAGGTGCAGGGGCTTCAAACGGCAGCTGGCTGTGTCCAGATGTTGCAAAGAGCATCCCTCATCTTTGTGGTAACGACTGGGTTACTCAACAGGACAACACTACAGTAAATATTGCCATAAAGGACAAGGGACTTCTTCCAGGAGAGTAACATCACTCTTTTGGACCATCCTGCATGTTCCCCTGATATAAATCCAATTGAGAACCTTTGGGGATGGATGGCAAGGGAAGTTTACAGAAATGGACAACAGTTCCAGACAGTAGACGCCCTTCCCATTTCTTCTTGTTGCATATTGAAGCTCTATTTGGAACCTTTTTAAGATCCAACCATGCAAAACGATGCATTTTTTGCCATTTTTCAATTGGTCTTAAACTTTTGATTGAGACATATACACACAAAGGATAACGAACGGGAACGGGTCACAGGTGGGAACACAGCTGACACTAATCAGATTGACACACGAGACAGAGACTATGAAACTAACAACAAGATGCAGACATGCAAAGTTGACACGAGGACTGGGAGACACAAAACATGCAGAAACACAACAATAAGAACCAAAACCAGGAACGTCAGCTGAACTTTAGAATATTAAATAAACCAGAATCAAATGGTCCAGATACATAAACCCTGCATCACGTTACAGATGTTTAATTTGAATCTTTACAGGTGTTAGCAGGTTACATTTGGATGGATCCTCCAGCTTTTGTGCTGAGCAGGAATCTACATGAATGTGCTAAAATGCTGAAATGTGCCTCGTGCATATTTTCTTATTTTATTCATTTTTTGTTTTTTTCTGTTTTCTTCCATTGTGTTGGGTTGTGTAGTGCCTTCAGCCATGCAAAGAACTGTGGGAAACCAGGAAGGTGGCATCTCCAAAGTCTTGCGAGGTAAGACGGAAACAGTGCGTGGCGTTTTTGTGCTCTTGTGCAAGTCTCGGCAGCCTCGGTGGCGTTGTCGTTCTTTGCAGACGCGCGCCTTTGTTGGCCCCACAAAGCTGTTTTGACCTTGTGCAATAAATGAGCGTTTGTGTGTGTTTTTATAAAGCTTTGTGCACTTCTAGTACACATGGGACACTGTGCAACAGTTTTATGTGCATTTTGTGCGAGTGTGTGTGGCCTGTTTATTTGTAAAGCCGGTTTCTGTGGCTTTCGGAGAGATTAGTTTTTCATCACAATAGCTGAAGCGTGTTGCTCGCTGGATGGCTGATTGGCTCGCTGGTTATGAACACAGGGTAATTCAGAGCTATTAGTGAAAGCTTGTGTTTACATTTTCCTGATCTACAGCTGTCTGCACAAACAGAGAAATGCACATGCACGCACACGCACACACACGTAGCTTTTAAACAGACAGTAGGAGTATACCACAGGAAGCGCTTTCACCCTTACTGTGTGTTTTTGTGCCCTCGTGTGTGTTCCTACACACTGTGTGTTATTTCTGTGATGTGTCCACTGTAATAATAATTACACCCACCGTGCTTTACTCTCAGAAGCAGACAGAGTGTGTGACGAGCAGGGAGTTTCTGGCCTCGTTAAGGTCGTCTCGTCAGGGAGACTGCCCTCCGCCTCAGCGAGCCACAGGATTTGCCGCGGCCTGCGTGGAGAGCTGCTCGTCAGACCAGCACTGCCCCTCCCCCAGGAAGTGCTGCTCCAATAGCTGTGGACATACTTGCCAAGCCCCAGCCAATCTGTACAAAGGTAAAGGCAACTTTTGGAGTTTGTGTGAAGCGTAATGTGGTAGCTGTTACTGATCGTCCTATCAAGTGGTTTTGATAGATAGACTGTAAGTGAGTAATTAGACCCCAGTTATTAGACTTAATAAGACAAAATGCATCATAGTGTGTATCTAAGTCGTCCCGGGAACTCCCATAACTGTCCAAATGTGTCAGCTAATTGTAATGTTACTATGTTACTAGTCAAGTGAGTTACACTGATATGTAACAACAAGCTTGTAACCTGGTTTGTCCTCGCAGGCGTCCCTCTGAAGCCTCGAAGAGACATTAGCTTTTTGGAGGACTCGGAGGGTCGTGTGAAGGTGACGTGGGTGTCGAAGTTCAACGTCAGCGTGGAGCCCGTCGTTTACATGCTCCAGTCCCGCTGGAACATCGGCATTCACCCCAGTGAAGACCACGCCTCTCCATGGGCTACTGTAGCCATGGTAAAT